TTTATGATGATAATGTGCCCTACGTACCCAACCAGTTACTTTATAGGGCAACCACTACCCATTCATATCAATACTGACAGCGTATATATAGGTATCGTTTTCAAAATGCCCTACGAAAATCCCAAAAAGATTCCTGTGGTAGCGACAGCGTTGGCGGGTGATGTAGGTATTCGATTATTATTATTCGTGGTTGAGAGACGTCACACCATATGTCTTCCATAATATTACAAATACCTACTACACCGTATGGCGTTGTACATAATATTATTATATATGTTATTATCGCGATGTGGATGACAATCAATTCGAAAATGTCACCGCGTAATCATCGTCTATTCTGCATTCAGCTGATGCCGGTTAATGGGAAATGACTCGGCGAAACGTACGCAATTTCTGCGGGGATATTGACCTTTTATCCGTCCATTACAACGAAGCGTGAGCTGCAGAAGAATTGATTTATTCCCTGCTGACGAAAGCAAAGGCCGTGTTTTCTGTAATATTCTATATATAGACGGAATAAACGTCCGGGGTATACAAGATCAAGTGAACCCTCGGCACCTGGCCACATGTGTTTTTCTAATTACTTTATACATTTTGATGTCATCTGAAATCGAGCACTGTAAGACCCCGAAAATAGAGCTGTAGCTATAGGGCTTGACAAGACTGGTTTAGGCTATGAACGTATCTTGGAAAAAGGCACGAAATCCAGAATTTATGGAATAAGATTATTTATTTTTGTATAACTTAAAACCTTGTTACGGCTCTAACGGTATTCATAACGTATTTGTATACCTTAATGTAACGAAAAATTGTGTTTTCAAAACTGATAACAACAGCAGCAGATTAATTGCCGTAATGCCCTAACCTGCTGTGATGCGCACAGCACGCGTGTATCATGAAAAAAGAAAATTATATCATCGAGGAAAATTAGTAGAAATATAGTAATAAATCAGGAAAAGAAACATTATAAGAAATTACGTACGGAGTGTGCAGTCCATCTAATGAATGTGTATAAGTATAAAATAATCGTTAAACACGAATGATCAATGAAATGTTGTAAAAAGCTCCTAGAGGACTTTGAAATATATAGAATCCAATGGATACACGTAGTGGGGAAAATACGCCGGGCAAATAGAAAAATATTAAAGAAGTATGTTAAGAATAATAACTTGGGTCGAGAAAGTAAGAAATAATATCATAGACAATAAATTCGATAAAGAAAAAAGGATGCAGAAAACAATTAGCTATGTTTTACTTACGTCACGGAAACACCATCATGATAAATTATCGAAAAAACTAAACGCTGTCGGTGATATGCGAGAAATTCATAACATATACTTTTACAACGAACGGCAGCACTGCTAGGGAATTGCATTGTTAATTAATCACATGAATCTTTCTATGACTGAAAAAAAAAAGGAAAGAAAACCTAAACAAAAAATCTACTTGTCGGTCCAAACCTGATACTGCTCTAGGGGAGTTAGTATTTTATAGTCGATAAATCTATAAAGAATTAAAGTACAGCAAAGCAGATAATGGAAAAAACACATCAGGTGGGTCACAAGACTCTAAGGTGTAACTGATTGGCTTTTTATTACCTACGGGAAGGGTTCCGCTGTTTGCGATAGATACGAGATACTCATACATAATATCGGACAAACTCGTAACACTAAATAGTAAATCGTTATGGCTGTGCAAAAGATAAAAAACAAAACAAAACATAAAACAAACTATTATTCTCTGTAGGTATTTAAGACGTTGAATTATCATTTTCTACGGTGATGTCTGTATAGAGTTATAAATTCAACGTTTCATATAACTAGATGGTGTTCGTGAAACGAACATCTGATTTTGTTTTTGGTTTTATTTACCACTCCGTTATTTGGGGGAAATGAGGTACTTACATAAAAGTATATGATATTATTTTTATTCTCCGAAAATATATATACTCGGTACTCTATAATAATGGTCGATAAATACAATTTTGCCGAGACCATTGTTTAGCGAATAAGTCGTTGCGAAAGTTGTTCGCTTCACTTAAATGGCTCCTTTTCGGAGATAACGACCGGATGGAACCACGTGCGCTTTTAGCCACGATATTATGCTAAACGGGAAATATGTATTGTATATACGCGTATAATAACGTACAAAAACAAAAAAAGTTTGTTTATATTGAATGAAGGGAAACCAACACTGTTGCAATATATAGGTACGCTGAGCGTTGTATCTTTTTATATATATTTTACATTCTTGATCGGAAAAAAAGAAGTTAAGAAATATTTATACCTACCTATACTAAAAAGAATTTAAAACAATACCTATATAGGAAATATGAAAACTACGAAATAATAATAACTTGATCCGTTGTTTGTTTTTCCTTCGTCGTCGGTATGTACGTATTTTGTATACTTCGATTGACCACGATAAGAAAAAACATTTTTTTTTTTTTTTCGGAATGAAAGTAAGAAACAATAAACTATATACGATTCAAAAATACATTTGTGTTTTTTCAACAGTGAAATAGGTATGTAGTCTACGCGAATGAATAAGTGAATTTGTAAAAAAAAATCTATAAGAGGTATAAGTATCAGTATTTCGATAAAAACAAAATAATTATTTTTTGATTTTTGTTTTTAAACGTGTATAAATAGTTTAATTGTATATACAAATAAAAAATTCGGATGTACTTCACACCATGGTTTGGCTACTGTTGTAGGCAGAAGTTTAAAAGGTATCCTCTACCTTTCTATATAACTATGATAATTTAATTTATATAAGTATAGTAAAATCTATTAAAAAAAAATTATTACCAACATTATTGGCATTCGTTATCAGTTTTTTGAATTATTAAAAAAAAAAAAAAACTTTTGGAAAACTAGAAAATATTGTTTAAATAAAATACTAACCGATAATAATCCGCATCTTCTAAAATGCCGCATTAAAAGTCGATCGTACACAGAAAACAATTTTCTGAGAAAAATACATCCTTCATTATTCAAAATTGAAAAATACATTGTTTAATAAAAACAAATTACCTACCTAAGTACATATTATAGAGTATCGATGATAGAAATCTTGAGCGAAAAAAATATTTAATTTATTAATATATATAATTACAAGATTAGAATACAGCATATCGAAAATGTCTGCTGTACAATTAATTTGTTATATGATTTATTTCCGAGTTATCAACATTCTGAAATGGCAAGTTTCGAAGTTCAACACTTTATATTTAACATATGATATACCTACACAAGAAAAACAATAGTTTTTCCAGCGACGAAACTTTTATACCGCTAACACAATTATATTGTTTAATTTATCGGTTGCGAGGTAGTCATCGGGTATTCGTATGTCTTAAAAAAAAACAACCCGATCGTCAAACGATTTTTTTAAGATAAAAATATACACACATATGTATACAAAACGTATACAATGATCGAGTCGTTTATACGATAAATCCACGGCTCGTATATCTACCCCTCTCTTCTCCCACCTCCGAGTCCGGACTTAGCAAACGTCGACGTTGGCATCGAAAAATAGTTTTAGTCGTAAGATTTTTTTTTTCCCGACCGCTCAAATCGATTTTGTCGGAATGCTAGAATTCCGTTTTAGTATATATTTTCATATAAGTACACTGATTTCGAACTACGGTAAAAAAAAAAAAAAAACCCAAAATCAATAGTTTTTCTGATGGCATATTATTATATACCTACAATTTTATTGTTAATCGAATCAGCGAACAAACGTCATATTTAACAACGATGAAAAACTATAAAACCCTAAATCAATAGAGTGTAATTCGAGAAAATCGTACGGCTTTTTCCCGGCGATAAAGATATCTCGTAACGTATTGTTATTATTTCTTGAGTTTTTCGTTTTTTTTCATTAATCGGTAACTGGATTTAAATCTGACTTAAGATAAACGACAATAAGTTGTTGTGGATATTGGTTTCCCGTGGCAATTCATTTCGTTGTCAAATATTTAACATTGTCTCAAAATACAGACGTTCTTTAAAGATGCTTCACCATTAGAGTTGGCCAACGAAAAATCAAAGTTTATGGCATACACGATATAGCTAATTATTGTACAATATGAATTGCATATGGATCACCACGACAACCGCGAACGTTCATTTTCCTATTGAAACTATACATACAATGTTAACAAACATGATTATTGCTATCAAGTATCAATAACCATCAAACACAATGATGAAATCGGTTTTTACGCATATTTCCGTATAAAACTGTCCGATGTTTCGATTTTTAACATATTTTGTTTTCTTCGTACTTGCGGTGCCATATGGAGCTAAACACCTACGCGTTTCGAGTAAATATGAGGTTTCGACCAATGTTTTTGAACCAATAATTCACAAGATTACCACGAACTGTCTGTCCGTCATAAACAGAAAAGTAAACAGAGTATACGATTCATTCAGAAACCGACCCATGAAACGCACGTATTTATTATAAAATATATACTTACTATTTAGTTTATTGGATTAAAAGAAAAAAGAAAACAACGATTATTATATTAATCCGATAGATCGTAATGTTTTTACCTCACAATTAATGACTCATCTTATCGGTGAATAACATTTTGACGGTTTTTTTTTTGGCCAATACAGCTTACAATCATCCTTCAAAATGTAGGAACTCGAAAAAGTGCTCAAAATTCACCTTTAGCTAACTTAAATTTTTATATTTTTAAATAACGTCATTAACGAACTCTTAATTGTATGCCATCGATTTTGAGTATGTATTTAAATTAACGTCTGTGCGCATTTTTGATTATACGCACTTACCTTGATTGGATTTAAATTTACTTTAAATTTAAGTGGAAGTATACCAAGCTTGTACAAATATTATTAAGACACGTTCGAAAATCATTACGGGGGCGTTATAAATTCGTTTAAATAAATTGTGTTTCGCTCCAACGAATATTTTAACGATGTTGGTGTTTAGATGACGGTAAAAGGATAACGTCAAGTTCGAAAATGTTGCTGGACTGGAATTTAACCGGACCGAAACGGTTGAGCCAAATGACGATGGTGGCAGCAATGGGAAGAAGTGGTCAGAATGAACGGACACTCATGAGAACTAAAAAACCAGTTGGCGACAAGCACTGTGTCGATAATCTAGAACGGCGGAAAACTGAGAAGACTGTTGCGAGACCTCATTGGGAAGGAACAGTGTCCAAAAGAATAGAAAGAACAATGAAATCGACCGCCTCTTCACTGGAAGAGATTAAGGGAAGTCATGTAATGAGATCGATCGAGAAATCAAAGGGGGATTGGACAGTGGCGAGGAGAATAAGTAGGTCGACAGGATCGACCGTGGATTTAATAAGGCAGGTGATGAAGTCAAAGTGTGTGAAAGGATCAATAGGTTTGACTGTAACTTCACAAAGACAGATTAAAACAAAAGATATTAGGAGGTCAATGGAATCGATTGTTACTCCACTAACGAAGAGCGTGACGAAATCGATGAGTTTGACTATGCCTTCACTGGGACAGATAAAAAAAAGAAAATTAGGGAAATCAATGGGATTTACTGTCACTTCACTGGGACAAGTGAAGGTAAGGAAAGTAGGGAGGTCGAGCGCCACTTCACTGGGAAATACAAAGGCAAAGGGTGTGACAAAATCTATAGATTCGACCCTGGCTTCATCACTGAGGCAGATAAAAGCGAAAAAATTAATGAAATCGATAAAATCGACCACTATTTCACTGAAAGAAATGACGAGACATGTGACGATATCGGTCGACAAATCGCTAAGGGAGTGGAAGGCGGCAAAAAGAGTGACGAGATCGAATACGAGATCGAAAACGACGGATGACGAGGACTTCACTAAAAGTACGGGATTCGCGCGAAAAATGTTTACCATGACCGAGATCCAGGACCAGACAACGATTGACAATGGTTTGACGTTACCATGTCGAATATTCGTTGGAAGCTCGAAGTTACGATCAAAATGCCCGTCGACCAAAAGGACCCTAGCTTCGACGACTCCGCAGTGGAACTGCGTGGCACTAGACTACGACGAGGAACACTACTGCCCGTCAAAAACCAGCAGAGTCGAACCCGTCACCCTATCATCTTGTGTTCCATTCTCCGTCAATAACCCGGTCACCAGGTTGTTTCTGAAAACGACCACTATACTCCGTGACAGAATGACCGATATAGCGGCAAAATAGCGTAAAACTGTACTATTCGTGAACTCGGGTTCACGTCTTGTCCCGCAGAAAGCTATAATGGAATCGTCACGAGGACTACTGCACCAATTTGTATTTGCATGAGAGACCGGTTAAAATCATACAACTATTATACTAACGCGTTTATTTTTATACTTATATTTATGTATACATACAGGTAATTTCGGAAATCTTAGTTTGAACCACTCGCCGTTTTTTCTTCAATTTTCAAATGCACGTTTACGTATATAATTAGTTAATTATTCACACCAATAATTATTGTACAAAAAATTGGAAATGCTTTGTATTTCTAATCGTGTTGGTGACGAAACATTCGAAAGACGAGTATAAACCGTACACTTACCACCGATTTTGATGTTTTGGACATCACACGTCGATTATTATTTATGTTTATTCTTTATGCAATATATAGATATTTATTTATTATTTATTCGCTTTAATTATAGTATTGTATATAATATATATATATACATATTTATTCGGTCTCTATAAAGTAAAATATATTGTCGATTTATGCGGAGACTACTGCCAGCGGAGTACCGGAGAAAAAATTACCGACGCATTAATAATAATTTCGGCGCACACAAATCACATCTATTATAGTATATATTTTATAAAATGACGGTGAATAATTTTGAATCCAAACGATTTCGATAAATTTTACAGGCGTCCTTTTTTTCCCCTCCTGTATAAAATATTTCTCCTCGAAATAACGTTTCGAGGGAGTAATGTATTTGCCATGTCGTCTGTTTGAAATATATTGAAAATCGTTATTTTAATGAGATAACTTCCAATCGGAAACGAGGTCACCCTGGCAGCTCGTAATGAAAATGTAAATTAAGAATATTTTTATTTTTTATTTTTTTGCAGCTCCGTGAAGAAAATAGTGATAATAATAATAATAAACATAATAACAATATCATAAAAATTATCATACAACTTAGAAGCTTAATGCGGTTTAACGATGAGAACGTAGCAGCAAAATTACGGGTAGAAAAAAAATAATAGTAAAGGTACGACAAAAATGAACAATAACTTCAGTGTAATAAGACGATACCAAAGAAATACGATTCTGAGCGAAGTTTGGTTAAATATGTTTTAAAATACTTTGATAATTATGGTTTTCATCAAAATTTAAAAAAACTTTTTTAAAAAAAAACTACTATATTATGCTCAACATTTTTTTTTGGCCACTAAGTACAATTCATCACGAATCATTTAGTTACGTTTTCAAGTATTTCTGTTCAACTAAAACAATATGCACATAACCCAAATAAAAATTTAAAAAAACTCAAAAATGTCAAACGCTTATAAATAGTTTCAAAACTGTCAGGATATTAGCGCGTATACATATAATAAAATATTAATAATTAAATATTCTGTGGAAATTTCAGATTTCTACGATTATTTTTAACCGAATTACAATAAGTAACAAAACAAAATCGATAATAATGATACCATTATTTCCATAAACTCCCGTTTATATCCCCTATGTATATCCCATTTTTTCTACGCTCTTTTCCAGGTTTTCTCATTAATTAATAAAACTGAAAAGAAATCAGAACTTGACATCCACATTCATTCAATTACTAGATATCGTTGAATTCAAAATAGATGCTTCGTTTTAAAGTCGGAGCAATATTTCTGATAGTAAAGTAGTTTCACATTGATACGCATTACTTACTTATTTTTTACTCATCGAATGCGTAAAACATCATACTTGTCATTGCGTTAAACAGATTACGTCTTCAAAATATTTTAATTGAAAAATATGCTTAACTTTTCATTTTTGTCTATATTTTTAATATTATATTAAATTGTGTTGTGATATTAGGACATTGGCTACCAAAGTTTTGTTTTCGTTGTATTATAATCGTATTATAAATAGGTACTAACAATTAGTTTGCTCGTTTTGCAGCGGTTATTTTTAAAATTTAGATACCTATAATATATATGATTCTTCGCAAAGTTTAGTCGGGGGGGAGTGGGGTAGGTGAATTCGTTAGTATATATTATTAAGCACTCTTGCGTAAGTTCACACACACACACACATTTATTTACGTATTTATATATGTATAAATAAATATAATTAATTATATATTAGGCGAAATAATTTATACGACTCGAACGGGGTCGAAAACCGCGGGAAAACAATAATTTATTTTCGAGCCGTTGCCGTTCGTTATATTATTATTATTTTATTTATAACTTACGACTGCATAACATATACATATACACCACCGATTTGATCTCGAGATAGAGGAGTTTGTTCGTGGCCCAGCAGCTGTTGACGAGTATATACCGCTCGCGGGCGTGATGGCAATCCGAGTAGATTGCAGCCAAATTTGTGAATTAAACCGAATTAAGTTTTCAGCGGTTTAAAACCTCTTCGCCCGCGAATAGTTCTCACATATATATTGCACATTGCAGAAGAAATTATAGTTTCTCGGCACATCCGCACGCTAACTGGTGCTGCTGGTGGCGGAAGGCTTATTTTTCTATTTTCAAATTCGTTCGCGGTTTCCGACTTTTCTAAAACAGTATTCTGTTTTTGTCGAATATTCCCGAATAATATAAAACAGAGAGGAAATATTATTGCTCTGTACGCGTACTGTATCTGTTTTATCTTATTAGAATAATATACAATGCCTTTTCCGCATTACTTTCTCGGTACTTTTATAGTGCCATAGCGACTTCCTCTGACCCGAATGAGCTCAAACTCGAGAATTGAAGTTAATTTATAGATGGGATAAATTTTGAAGTGATAAAAGTTGTAATTAATTTCAATATAAATTTCTGTGGTACAATAATACGAAATTTTCTTGAAATGAATTATTGATTTTATATTTTAATATTAATAAAAATAATACATCAAATTTTCTATTTTGCTTCTATTTGATTATTTTTTCTACCGAAATACATATTCACTATAAAGGTTTTTGACGCTACTTGTTTCTCAATTTAGTATTATAATATTTCTCCAGTTTTCAATCCTCCATATTTCTCGAAGTATTGCAGTAATCGAAAACAGAAAACTAAAAATAAATTATATAATATTTATTTTAGATTTGTTCTATTAAGTTTGGCCATTTAAAATCGATCATCGGTTCCCGTAGTGATATCCCAACCGGCACATTGTTCAACAGATTTTTAATTTTAAAGCAAACGCGCAAAACATTTTCCAAAGATAGACGACCAATATTGTTTAAGACAATTTAAGCATGACAAGGAAACATTATTTTTCATTAGTTTTCTACAGATTGAAATGCAGAGGACGACGTATCAGCGATAGTTATAAATAACAATAATTGTGTGCCTTCTCAATTAATTTCAACGCTGAAAATAATAAAACATATTACGTCTACAATACGAACCACTTGAAATGGCTCCATAAGCAATAGCAGCATTGAATTCTGAAAAAAGTCTGAGAGCTTTTTGGAATCATTTGAAACTTCAATATTAGTTCATTGACAATACATAATATCGAGTAGTTGGTTAACGCACGTAACTGCAGGATGAACAAAAAAACATTTAAGAAAAACATTTATGGTAAAACAAATTTACCTGCGTACATTTTCAAAAAATCCGTTGTCACATTTAAATTTGGATTTAAGGACTGAATTTCAAAGCTTCAAATTATATTATTGATTTAATTAAAAATAATATAACCTGACGACACGAGTACAAGACTTATTACAGATTTTTCTGTAAAAAATGAGACCATTTTATTGTTTATTTATTTATTATTAATTAAGTATTATTTACGGTTGAAACTTTTTTCTTTTTTAATGTTCTATAACATGAAAAACTAAAGTGTTTTTTTTTTTTTGTTTAACTCCTAAATCGAATTTCTGTCGACACAGCCGTTCTTTATGACATCCAGTAAACATAACTCCACAAAACCAAAAACTAGACTAAAACAAAGACTACAAAACACCAAAAGTAAAACAAAATGATTTCGATTCTATATTTAAGTTAAAACTTTACATTCACGCTACAGTGGCTCTAATAGTAAATTAAAGAAACCGAGTGGTATAATAAAAAATAATTTCGAAAAAAGGGATTTCCTATAAATAGGAAATACATATTAGGGGATTAATTTTCAAATTTAATTATCATTAGTATTTGAAATAATAAAGAAAACATGGTTCTTTAAATTGAAAATAAGGTTGTTGTCATTTGCAATCGTTTATATTTATTTTTTGTTATTATTAAGTTTTTATTTTTTTAATCTTTTTTAAACAATCATTATTGTCTTGAAAATTCACTTTGTTTTAATCACTTAAACATAATACGACATACATAATCTTGACAAAGCAACAATACCAACTGAACTCCACTCAGAAACGTATTATGGTAAAATACCATAATATGACATTATACCATATATTGTATTGTTAATAAAGCAACATTATCAATTGAATTCGGCTTAGAATCGGTATTTCGTTAGCTATGGTTTATCGTTGCTTAAAGATATACATAAAGTTCCTGTCTGTAGCCTACCTTCCTAACTTCCCGCCTACAACAGTGGCTACACCCACGCGCGAAGTATGTCCGTCCTTTTTATTATTATTTATTTTTATTTTTTTATGTGAATATTTTTTTCTACCATAAACTTACTGTGTTATATGAACCTTTTTCTGAAAGAAAATCTAACTAAGAAGGTACTTTAAAGAGGTTATTTTTCGATTTCCCCAAGAATTTTCCCAGCAAATGTGAAAAACCGGGAAAACCGGGATAATCAGTACAATATTAAACAATTATCATTAATGAAAATATGTAATGCCTAATTAATAATTTAACAATAGTATGACACGTAATATATGTTATTGACAAAACATCACTATCCAACTGAACTGCGCTCAGTATCATTTATAGTAAGCAATGGTTTATCATTGCTTACAGATTCAAATCAATTTCCTTCTATATTATAACATCCTTACTTCTCATCAACAAAAGTGGCTGCACCCGTCCCCATTGTC